AATCTACTGTAGAGATAGCCTGCAGAGCTCTATCATACTATCCAGGTCTGTGCCCAAACAGTTTGAGCTTCTACTTCTAAAAATCCACCTTTCCAGAAATAAGTCACACCCCGGCTGCCCTACAATCTAAACTAGATGCCCTCAATCTCACACAAATTATAAAGGAACCTACCAGGTACAACCCTAAATCCGTAAACATGGGCACCCTCATAGATATCATCCTGACTAATTTACCATCTAAATACACCTCCGCTGTCTTCAACCAGGATCTCAGCGATCACTGCCTCATTGCCTGCGCAGTAATGGGTCCGCGATCAAACGACCACCCCTCATCACTGTCAAACGCTCCCTAAAACACTTCAGCGAGCAGGCCTTTCTAATTGACCTGGCCCGGGTATCCTGGATGGATATTGACCTCATTCCGTCAGTAGAGAATGCCTGGTTGTTCTTCAAAAGTGCTTTCCTCTACATCTTAAATAAGCATGCCCCATTCAAAAAATTCAGAACTAAGAACAGATATAGCCCCTGGTTCACCCCAGACTTGACTGCCCTTGACCAGCACAAAAACATCCTGTGGCGTATTGCATTAGCATCAAACAGCCCCCGCGATATGCAACTTTTCAGGGAAGTCAGGAACCAATATACACAATCAGTTAGGAAAGCAAAGGCTAGCTTTTTCAAACAGAAATTTGCATCCTGTAGCACTAACTCCAAAAAGTTTTGGGACACTAAAGTCCATTGAGAATAAGAGCACCTCCTCCCAGCTGCCCACTGCACTGAGGCTAGGAAACACTGTCACCACCGATAAATCTACGATAATCGAGAATTTCAATAAGCATTTTGCTACGGCTGGCCATGCTTTCCAGCTGAAAGAGCTGCAAAATCTGGACCCAATCTGGACCCTTTCTTTCTAAAATTAGCCGCAGATATTGTAGCAACCCCTATTACTAGCCTGTTCAACCTCTCTTTCGTATCATCTGAGATCCCCAGAGATTGGAAAGCTGTCGCGGTTATCCCCCTCTTCAAAGGGGGTGACACTCTAGATCCAAACTGTTACAGACCTATATCCATCCTGCCCTGCCTTTCGAAAGTATTTGAAAGCCAAGTTAACAAACAGATCACCAACCATTTCGAATCCCACCGTACCTTCTCCGCTATGCAATCTGGTTTCCGAGCTGTTCATGGGTGCACCTCAGCCACGCTCAAGGTCCTAACGATATTATAACCGCGATCGATAAAAGACAGTACTGTGCAGCCGTCTTCATCGACCTGGCCAAGGCTTTCTACTCTGTCAATCACCACATTCTTATCGGCAGACTAAATAGCCTTGGTTTCTCAAATGACTGCCTCGCCTGGTTCACCAACTACTTCTCAGATAGAGTTCAATGTGTCAAATCGGAGGGCCTGTTGTCTGGACCTCTCTATGGGGGTGCCACAGGGTTCAATTCTCGGGCCGACTCTGTTCTCTGTGTATATCAATGATGTCACTCTTGCTGCTGGTGACTCTCAGATCCACCTCTACGCAGACAACACCATTTTGTATACATCTGGCCCTTCATTGGACACTCCAACCTCCAAACGAGCTTCAATGCCATACAACACTCCTTCCGTAGCCTTAAACGCTAGTAAAACTAAATGCATGCTCTTCAATCGAACGCTGCTTGCACCCGCCCGCCCGACTAGAATCACTACTCTCGGCGGGTCTGACTTAGAATATGTGGACAACTACAAATACCTAGGTTTCTGGTTAGACCGTAAACTCTCCTTCCAGACTCACATTAAGCATATCCAATCCAAAGTTAAATCTAGAATCGGCTTCCTATTTCGCAACAAATCCTCCTTCACTCATGCTGCCAAACATGCCCTTGTAAAACTGACTATCCTACCGATCCTTGACTTCGGCGATGTCATTTACAAAATAGCCTCCAACACTTTACTCAGCAAATTGGATGTAGTCTATCACAGTGCCATCCGTTTTGTCACCAAAGCCCCATATACTACCCACCATTGTGACCTGTATGCTCTCGTTGGCTGGCCCTCACTACATATTCGTCGCCAAACCCACTGGCTCCAGGTCATCTATAAATCACTGCTAGGCAAATCCCAGCCTTATCTTAGCTCATTGGTCACCATAGCAACACCCACCCGTAGTATGCGCTCCAGCAGGTATATCTCACTGGTCATCCCCAAAGCCAACACCTCCTTTGGCCGCCATTCCTTCCAGTTCTTTGCTGCTAATGACTGGAACGAACTGCAAAAATCTCTGAAGCTGGAGACTCTTATCTCCCTCACTAACTTTAAGCATCAGTTGTCAGAGCAGCTTACCGATGACTGCACCTGTACACAGCCCATCTGTAATTAGCACACCCAACTACCTCATCCCCATATTGTTATTTATTTTGCTCATTTGCACCCAAGTATCTCTTTTTGCACATCATCTTCTGCACATCTATCACTCCAGTGTTAATACTAAATTGTAATTATTTTGCACTATGGCCTATTTATTGCCTTACACCCATAACTTACTACATTTGCACACACTGTATATAGATTTTCTATTGTGTTATTGACTATGTTTTGTTTATCCCATGTGTAACTCTGTTGTTAGCTGGTAGAGCACGGCGCTTGTAACGCCAAGGTAGTGGGTTCGATCCCCGGGACCACCCATACACAAAAATGTATGCACGCATGACTGTAAGTCGCTTTGGATAAAAGCGTCTGCTAAATGGCATATTATTATTATTATTGTTGTTGTTTTTATTGCACTGCTTTGCTTTATCTTGGCCAGGTCGCAGTTGTAAATGAGAACTTGTTCTCAACTGGCCTACCTGACCTCTGGTGGCATGTCTTGTGGGGTATGCATGGGTGTCTGAGCTGTGTGCCAGTCGTTCAAACAGACAGCTCGGTGCTTTCAACATGTCAACACCTCTCACAAACACAAGCAGTAATTAAGTCAATCTCTCCTCCACTTTGAGCCAGGAGAGATTGACATGCATATTATTAATGTTTGCTCTCTGTGTGCATCCAAGGGCCAGCCGTTCTGCCCTGTTTTGAGCCAATTGCAATTTTCCTAAGTCCCTCTTTGTGGCACCTGACCACACGACTGAACAGTAGTCCAGGTGCGATAAAACTAGAGCCTGTAGGACCTGCCTTGTTGATAGTGCTGTTAAGAAGGTAGAGCAGCGCTTTATTATGGACAGACTTCTCCCCATCTTAGCTAATGTTGTATCAATATGTTTTGACCATGACAGTTTACAATCCAGGTTTACTCCAAGCAGTTTAGTCTCCTCAACTTGGTCAATCTCCACATCAGTTATTACACGATTTAATTGAGGTTTGGAGTTTAGTGAATGATTTGTTCCAAATACAATGCTTTTAGTTTTAGAAATATTTAGGACTAACTTATTCCTTTCCACCCACTCTGAAACTAACTGCAACTCTTTGTTAAGTGTTGCAGTCATTTCAGTCACTGTAGTAGCTGACATGTATAGTGTTGAGTCTTACGTAGACATTCTGGCTTTACTCAAAGCCAGTGGCATGTCATTAGTAAAGATTGAAAAAAGGAATGGGCCTAGACAGCTGCCCTGGGGAATTCCTGATTCTATCTGGATTATGTTGGAGAGGCTTCCGTTAAATAACACCCTCTGTGTTCTGTTAGACAGGTAACTCTGTATCCACAATATAGCAGGTGGAGTAAAGCCATAACACATATGTTTTTCCAGCAGCAGACTATGATCGATAATGCCAAAAGCCGCACTGAAGTCTAACAAAACAGCCCCCACAATCTTCTTTATCAATTTCTCTCAGCCAATCATCAGTCATTTGTGTAAGTGCTGTGCTTGTTGAATGTCCTTCTCTATAAGCATGCGTTATGTATTTTGTCAAATGGTGAATTAACTTAGAAAAAGTCCTTTCTTTTATCGTCCTTATCTCCCACGCTATATGATATATAAGACAGAAGTCTGTTGGAGAAATTAAAAGCTGAAATTGAAATTAAAACAAACATTTTGCTGGAATAATCAAAATGTGGTATTGGCATGACTTAGGTGTGATTAATCACTGATACCAAAACAAATGACAAAAGATCTCGTTTTAATAAGCCAGTAGCCACACACACACAACTGAATAAAACACGTTTTGTATACAACTAAAAGTTCAAACCATGCATTCATATGTCTTTTAATTGTTATAAAAACATTTTTCATACAAACCACACACTGTGAAATTATTAGCGAACATTCAATCATCACTCTGATTTAAAACAAAAAAACACAGAAATCCCACCTGCCACAAACAAAACGACCCAAAAGTACAGCAGCACGACACCTGTACCTTTCCAACATAATCAGTGGCAATAGGGTATAAATAAGTAAATTCTAATACTAACCGTTGACACTACAATCAGCAACACATTTCAGACCTAGCTTTAAGTTTGTCAAGATTTGTTCTAAGCCTACATCTTAAAAAGGGGCAATCTGCAGTTGCTACATAAATTGTTTTACTTATAAATTAACAATATGTACCCATTGATTCTTGAAGAATAGAACTTATTGCCTCATGAGCTTAGTTCAACTGTCGTACCCCATCAGAACCAAAATATAAGCTTGTTTTACTCCAATGTTTGTAAACAAAGTGTACAGAAACACTATGTAACCTCAAAACAGGGTTAAAACTATCATTTTGATATGGATGTCCTTGCTTCCATAGCTCTGTCTATCAATTTCTCCCTCCCCATCCCTCAGCTTTTACCAAAACAGGGGCGGGGAATTCGCTTCGTTATTGTTTCAACTGCTGATTGCCGCTTTAAGCACACAGTCTGTGAAATGAAGACACAGAGCCAGGTGCGCAGATCGACACGGAACAAGGCCCGTGAAAGCTGTGCATAGTGCCCCGTGTTGCTCTGTTGGTAGAGCATGGCGCTTGCAATGCCAGGGTTGTGGGTTCGTTTCCCACGGGGGGCCAGTATGAAAAAATGTATGTACTCACTAACTGTAAGTCGCTCTGGATAAGAGTGTCTGCTAAATTACTAAAATCAAAAATGTAAATGATTGTTTGGCAGCAAAAAAAATACAGAAAATACTTTGTTCAAACAAATTCAACTAACACACTATGTTGGGACTGAAAGATGGTTGATAATACAGGTAAGATTTGCCAAATCCAGGCTGGACTGGACTGTTATTCAATGCTACAGATACAGTTGTTTTTATCACCAGTCTACTATTTTGCTGGGAAAAAAATATATCTTATCATTGATTCAAAATCCCTGAGTTACCAGGCACTTAGAATTGTTCAATGAATCCCTCCAATAAACACAGTAACCTATCCTCAGTGCTTTGTTTTAAAGGTGGGTAATTAATGATTAAGGAGAATGGACAGGCGAGGGTCGAGTGGTGATGACTGCTAAATAGAACTCCACGGCTTCATTACAATCAGTACGGTATAGCAGAACTAAAGGACGAAAATAAACAAAGCATCAAGCACTTCTGAAATCAGCCTCTAATAGCAAAACTAGGCTGGAAGTAGTGGTACCTTTTTCCCCACTAGAAACAGCTCATTTGCAGCATTTAATGATATGTGATGAAACATTTTTTTAAAAGGGTAACACTGGCTTCAAATGCACTTGTTAAAACAGAGAAATGTGACACATAGCAGTTGAACAAAATCCAGTCCCCATTAAACAGGGTCTGACTGGGCCCACAGGACAACAAGGTAGTAGTATTAAGGTGTCCGCATGTCAGAAACCATCACATTCCTTTTGATATCTGTGACACCTTTGTTAGAGTAACAGACACAGGAGCACCCATCCTGTCCATATGTTGTGTTGAGTTTAACTTGCCTGGAACACACTGCATAGAGTCACACTGGGCTGGTGTTAGGTAGGGATTGTGGGTAGTGTAGTCCTCTTCAGTTCTGCATGAGGTACTGGTGGAAGTAAATGCCAAACAGGCTGCTGATGACTTGGCAGGCGGCCACCCACCAGGTGAGGAAGGCAAACAGGCCTCTGAAGAAGAGGGGGGTGAGGACGGAGCGCAGGGCCGAGAAGCCCTCGGTCAGACGGGCCACCGTGGCCTGGATGTCCTCCTCGATGTCCTCCATCCCCTCCTCGTCCTCCTCCAGCCCTGGCAGGACGGGAGAGGCCGTGGGCATTACCAGGGCAGGGGTCACCCCCGGAGCCTGCTCTGCACCACTCCACGAGAAGTCACCTGAGATACAGAAAAGACAGTAGGAACAATGGGTGTTACAATGAGACATTTGAAAAGCACAATTGACATACAGTTGAAGTCGGAAGTTTACATACACCTTAGCCAAATACATTTAAGCTCAGTTTTTCACAATTCCTGACATTTAATCCTAGTAAAAATTCCCTGTCTTAGGTCAGTTAGGATCACCACTTTATTTTAAGAATGTGAAATGTCAGAATAATAGTAGAGAATGATTTATTTCAGCTTTTATTTATTTCATCACATTCCCAGTGGGTCAGAAGTTTACGTACACTCAATTAGTATTTATTAGCATTGCCTTTAAATTGTTTAACCTGGGTCAAACGTTTTGGGTAGCCTTCCACAAGCCTCCCACAATAAGTTGGGTGAATTTTGGCCCATTCCTCCTGACAGAGCTGGTGTAACTGAGTCAGCCATTTTGCCACAACTTTGGAAGTATGCTTGGGGTCATTGTCCATTTGGAAGACCCATTTGCGACCAAGCTTTAACTTTCTGACTGATGTCTTGAGATGTTGCTTCAATATATCCACATAATTTTCCTTCCTCATGATGCCATCTATTTTGTGAAGTGCACCAGTCCCTCCTGCAGCAAAGCACCCCCACAGCATGATGCTGCCACCCCCATGCTTCACAGTTGGGATGGTGTTCTTCGGACTCGTTTTACTGTGGATATAAATACTTTTGCACCTGTTTCCTCCAGCATCTTCACAAGGTCCGTTGCTGTTGTTCTGGGATTGATTTTCACTTTTCACACCAAAGTACGTTCATCTCTAGGAGACAGAACGCGTCTCCTTCCTGAGCGGTATGACGGCTGCGTGGTCCCATGGTGTTTATACTTGCATACTATTGTTTGTACAGATGAACGTGGTACCTTTAGGCGTTTGGAAATTGCTCCCAAGGATGAACCAGACTTGTGGAGGTCTACAATTATTTTTTGAGGTCTTAGCTGATTTCTTTTGATTTTCCCATGATGTCAAGCAAAGAGGCACTGAGTTTGAAGGTAGGCCTTGAAATACATCCACAGGTACACCTCCAATTGACTCAAATTATGTCAATTAGCCTATCAGAAGCTTCTAAAGCCATGACATCATTTTCTGGAATTTTCCAAGCTGTTTAAAGGCACAGTCAACTTAGTGTATATGTAAACTTCTGACCCACTGGAATTGTGATACAGTGAATTATAAGTGAAATAATCTGTCTGTAAACAATTGTTGGAAAAATTACTTGTGTCATTCACAAAGTAGATGTCCTAACCGACTTGCCAAAACTATAGTTTGTTAACAAGACATTTGTGGAGTGGTTGAAAAACGAGTTAATGGCTCCAACCTAAGTGTATGTAAACTTCCGACTTCAACTGTACATTACATTTCCATGGATCAAGCATTGTGATGAAACTGTTTGTATATTATCATAACTCCATATTGTTTAATTATAGAATGCAGATTCTCAGGATTTACGGAGGGCCACTGAGTGCAACCTAAGGCCTCACTAAAAATCTAATGAGAGTTTGTTGTTTGCATACACAGTTTAGCAGGTGTTATAGCAGCGCAGCGAAATTCTTATGTTACTAGCTCCTGACAACGCAGTCAAATGTCAAACAGCTAAAATGTAAAGAAAAATACAACCAAACAAAGCAAGAAATCAAGAACAGTGGGACGAATCCAATTAACAATCCCAAATAGCACTGAAGCTACAGTGCATTCAGAAAGTATTCAGACCCCTTGACTTTTTCCACATTTTGTTATGTTACAGCCTTATTCTACAATTGATTAATTTATTTATTTCCTCATCAATCTACACAAAATACCCCATAATGACAAAGTGAAAACAGGTTTAGACATTTTTGCAAATGTATTAAAAATAAAAAACCTAAATACCTTATTTACATAAGTATTCAGACCCTATGAGACTCGAAATTGAGCCCTGTTTCCATTGATCATCCTTCAGATGTTTCTCCAACTTGATTGGAGTCCACCTGTGGTAAATTCAATTGATTGTAAATATTGATCACATTCCTTGTGTATGATCATATATTTTGATACATTGAATGTTAATATTGAGAACCTATGTTATACATTTTTTACCTCGTTTCAGGAATTGATGTCACTGAGCACTGCCCCTATATATAGGACCTTCCACCCCACCTGGGATACGGATGCCTGATGAAGACCTAAGGGTCGAAACGTTGTTATAAATAAATATCACCAGGGAGCATGAGCAGCAGTATGTGGCGTTTTCCTTTCTGTTTTCCAAATTCAATTGATTGGACATGATTTGGAAAGGCACACATCTGTCTATATAAGGTCCCACAGTTGACAGTGCATGTCAGAGCAAAAACCAAGCCATGAGGTTGAAGGAATTGTCCGTAGAGCTCCGAGACAGGATTGTGGTGAGGCACAGATCTGGGGAAGCGTACCAAAAAATGTCTGCAGCATTTAAGGTCCCCAAGAACACAGTGGTCGCCATCATTCTTTAATGGAAGACGTTTGGAACCACCAAGACTCTTCCTAGAGCTGGCCGCCCGGCCAAACTGAGCAATCGGGGGACAAGGGCCTTGGTCAGGGAGGTGACCAAGAACCCGATGGTCACTCTGACAGAGCTCAAGAGTTCCTCTGTGGGGATGGGAGAACCTTCCAGAAGGACAACCCTCTCTACAGCACTCCAATCAGGCCTTTATGGTAGAGTGGCCAGTAAAAGGCACATGACAGCCTGCTAGGAGTTTGCCAAAAGGCACCTAAAGGACCTTCAGACCATGAGAAACAAGATTCTCTGGTCTGATGAAACCAAGATTGAACTCTTTGGCCTGAATGCCAAGCGTCACGTCTGTAGGAAACCTGGCACCATCCATACGGTGAAGCTTGGTGGTGGCAGCATCATGCTGTGAGGATGGTTTTCAGTGGCAGGGACAGGGAGATTAGTCAGGATTGAGGGAAAGATGAACGGAGCAAAGTACAAAGAGATCCTTGATGAAAACCTGCTCCAGAGCGCTCAGGACCTCAGACTGGGGCAAAGGTTCACCTTCCAAAAGGACAACGACCCTAAGCACACAGCCAAGACAACGCAGGAGTGGCTGAATGTCTCTGAATGTCCTTGAGTGACCCAGCCAGTGCCCAGACTTGAACCTGATCGAACATCTCTGGAGAGACCTGAAAATAGCTGTGCAGCGACGCTCCCCATCCAACCTGACAGAGCTTGAGAGGATCTGCAGAAAAGAATGGAAAAAACTCCCCAAATACAGGTGTGCCAAGCTTGTAGTGTCATACCCAAGAAGACTTGAGGCTGTAATCGCTGCCAAAGGTGCTTCAACAAAGTACTGAGTAAAGGGTATGAATACTTACTTAAAATGTTATATTTCCATTTTCCCAACTTGTTTTTACTTTGTCATTATGGGGTATTGTGTGTAGATTGATGCGGGGAAAAAACAATTTCATCCATTTTAGAATAAGGCTGTAACGTAACAAAATGTGGAAAAAGTAAAGGGGTCTGAATACTTTCCAAATGCATTGTATACATATGTACATCGGGGGAATTTACACAAGAACAGCTAAGAATGATATGTACAGCAGTAGATATATTAGAGTGAGATATGTGAAGAATCCAGTATAAATAAATAAATATGCAGTGTGTATAAACTAATGAAACTAAAGTACAATGTATAGTAGTAGAAATATTAGAAAAGGCTATGAATAAAAAAGCATTCCCTCAAAGCTAGTTGTTGCCATGTTAGGTACAGCACGTCTTACCCAGGGCCTTCAGAGCCAGGGTGGAGAAGAGGAGGAGCAGAACAGGGACTACGTACTGCAGGGTGACTATGGTCAGGTAGCAGAACACACGGGTTACCTGGAAGGACAACCACATCAAAAGACTCATGGGTTTGGGTTTAATCTGGTTCTCCAAACAACAACGAATTCCTTTAACATGAAAACATTGCGATTTAGATGTGGTGTCGGACCTTCCTCTGGATGTCGATGGCAGCGATGCGCCCTGCCTCCTTCTTCATCTGGTCCACCCACTTCTGAGACAGGTTGAGGTAGGCTTGCAAGTGGTAGCGGGTGAGGGCCAGCCTCAGGCAGCACAGCACCACCACTGTCCACAGACGAACACTGTCAAACACCGCGCTTGACATACTGAGATAACACACACACAGAGGTGATCTGTCAACACTTGGAGAAGGAATCAGCACAAGGGTGCCAAATGGTCACATTTGTAATATTGCATTGGAGTATAGGAAATCAGAGGACACACATGCGTGGAATACAGCAAGTATACACACACAAACACAGACACACACTTACAGGGTGACTGAGGTCTTCCCCATGGGAGCATTCCCCAGGAAGTCCCTAGCGATGGGTTTGATCCACAACACGATCACGACCACTGGGGCCAGGAAGCTCATGTGCAACAGCAATCTAAGGGAAGCAGAAAACGGCACAACACCCAAACAGTAAGACATTTCTAGTCAGTGGAGCCAGTTGGTTATTTTGTTTCACAGTTAAAATCAGTGTTTGTGTGTTCTTACTGGATGAATGGGCGGTCTGAGTTCATCTGGACTGCGTCCAGGTGGGTCTGGGCTAGACGGAGGCCAGGGAAGGCCAGCAAAGCACCAATAAAAGCACAGATGGCAGCCAGACCAAACTTCACAGTCAGTTTGGTCACCGGGACTCTGATGAGAGTCCAAATATAATAGGAAACATTAAGGGGCACATTTGCCAACACAGATCACTAAAAGCATATTGTCAGTCCATGAATGACTGGCTACTATTCTATGGACCCAAGTTGTGATTGACATTTTTGAAAATCAATTTAAACTGTCCAACTAAAAGATACTTACGACCACTCAGCAAAGCCTTGCTGTTTTGCAAAAACCTCAAGGTTGTCAAAAAGACTGTTAAAACCTGCAATACAAAAGCATGAAAAAGCCCAAACTGAAATGATAAAATGAACTAAATAAAACATTGATAAATGTGTTATACATAGCCCAATGGGGCGTGTCGTAGAAGGGGTTAGTGTAGTGGACATACCAGGCTCCAGGCCAAACTCCAGGTAGTCCTCTCTGACCACCAGCACCAGCATGGCCACCAGCAGAGACATGAAGCCAAAGGCCAGGCACACCGAGCGCTCGCCACCCTCGTCAGACCTGAAATAGTGGCCCATCAGGGAGTGGAGGGTTTTCCTGTGAGAGAGAGTTAAGGGAAACACAAGGACAACCGAACAGTCCCACGACAACAAAACAGCTCCAATTAAAGAGGAGCACAATATTGAGGCATCTGAATATTTCTGGCACAGTGCATGTTTGGGTTATTCATTTACCAGGGGCCCACTTTGTAGAAAGTGACACTAAAACTGTTTTTACATGGTAATAACATTGGCAAGTACAATGAGTACAACTTCAGTCTAAGTTGACATTGTAACATAATACTTAGAGCTATTTTCTTAGGAATAGGTTATAATATTAATTTTCAAAATTGTAATACAATTGTGGGCTTCCAGAGTGAGGGTGAACTGAAGGATACAGGCAACAGAGAACGGTCAGCACACACCAGATGGCCCCAACGTGGACCTCCTTGGCAGGGTCCACTACACAGAAGTAGCCCTCAGTGAAAAGGTAGATGCCCATGGCATACACTGCAAAGTCAATCAACCACTGGTACTCCAGGAAGAATCGCAGTACTGAGAATAGGAAAGAAGAGGCAAATCAGAAACATTGTAAGGAAACGATAAGGCCTAAAATACAAAGCCAGCAAAGGCTTGGAGGGCATTTCAGTCTGCAGTAGCTGTGAAAAAACAGCTAGCTGGAGCTCGTCTGAGTGGTTTCCTTTCCCCTATACTGTGGCTTGAATTTACATTTACATCATTTAGCAGATGCTCTTATCCAGAGCGATTTACAAATTGGTGCATTCAACTTATGATAGCAAGTGGGACAACCACTTTTTTTAAATAATTTTTTTATGGGGGGGTGGGGGAAGAAGGATTACTTTATACTATTCCAGGTATTCCTTAAGGAGGTAGGGTTTCAAGTGTCTCCGGAAGGTGGTCAGTGACTCCACTGTCCTGGTGTCGTGGGGGAGCTTGTTCCACCATTGGGGTGCCAGAGCAGCGAATAGCTTTGACTGGGCTGAGCGGGAACTGTGCTTCCATAGAGGTAGGGGGGCTAGCAGGCCAGAGGTGGATGAACGTAGTGCCCTCGTTTGGGTGTAGGGTCTGATCAGAGCCTGAAGGTAAGGAGGTGCCGTTCCCCTCACAGCTCCGTAGGCAAGCACCATGGTCTTGTAGTAGATGCGAGCCTCAACTGGAAGCCAGTGGAGTGTGCGGAGGAGCGGGGTGACATGAGAGAACTTGGGAAGGTTGAACACCAGACGGGCTGCAGCGTTCTGGCTAAGTTGAAGGGGTTTAATGGCACAGGCAGGGAGCCCAGCCAACAGCGAGTTGCAGTAATCCAGACGGGAGATGACAAGTGCCTGGATTAGGACCTGTGCCGCTTTCTGTGTAAGGTAGGGTTGTACTCTGTGAATGTTGTAGAGCATGAACCTGCAGGATCGGGTCACCACTTTGATGTTAGCGGAGAACGACAGGGTATTGTCCAGGGTCACACCAAGGTTCTTTGCACTCTGGGAGGAGGACACAATGGAGATGTCAACCGTGATGGCGAGATCATGGAGCGGGCAGTCCTTCCCCGGGAGGAAGAGCAGCTCCGTCTTGCCGAGGTTCAGCTTGAGGTGGTGATCCGACATCCACACTGATATGTCTGCCAGACATGCAGAGATGCGAGTCGCCACCTGGTTTTCAGAAGAGGGAAAGCTTGCGAAGGTATTCACCCCACTTGGCATTATTCCTAAATTATTTTGTTGCCTTACAACCTGGAATTAAAATAGATTTTTGGGGGGTTTGTATCATTTGATTTACACAACATGCCCTCAAGAATTTCCCTGTATTTAGCGCCATCCATCATTCCTTCAATTCTGACCAGTTTTCCAGTCCCTGCCGATGAAAAACATCCCCACAGCATGATGCTGCCACCACCATGCTTCACTGTGGGGATGGTGTTCTCAGGGAGATGGGTTTGCGCCAGACATAGCGTTTTCCTTGATGGCAAAAAAGCTCAATTTTAGTCTCATCTGACCAGAGTACCTTCTTCCATATATTTGGGGAGTCTCCCACATGCCTTTTGGCGAACACCAAACGTGTTCGCTTATATATATATTTTTTTAGTAATGGCTTTTTCTGGCCACTCTTCCGTAAAGCCCAGCTCTATGGAGTGTACGGCTTAAAGTGGTCCTATGGACAGATACTCCAATCTCCGCTGTGGAGCTTTGCAGCTCCTTCAGGGTTATCTTTGGTTTCTTTGTTGCCTCTCTGATTAATGCCCTCCTTGCCTGGTCAGTGAGTTTTGGTGGGCGACCCTCTCTTTGCAGGTTTGTTGTGGTGCCATATTCTTTCAAATTTTTAATAATGGATTTAATGGTGCTCCGTGGGATGTTAAAAGTTTCTGATTTGTTTAAATAACCCAACCCTGATCTCTACTTCTCCACAACCTGTTTGGAGAGCTCCTTGGTCTTCATGGTGCCGCTTGCTTGGTGGTGCCCCTTGCTTAGTGGTGTTGCAGACTCTGGGGCCTTTCAGAACAAGTGTATACAGTTTCGAGAACAAGTATTTGATACACTGCCGATTTTGCAGGTTTTCCTACTTACAAAGCATGTAGAGGTCTGTAATTTTTATCATAGGTACACTTCAACTGTGAGAGACGGAATCTAAAACAAAAATCCAGAAAATCACATTGTATGATTTTTAAGTAATTAATTTGCATTTTATTGCATGACATAAGTATTTGATCACCTACCAACCAGTAAGAATTCCGGCTCTCACAGACCTGTTAGTTTTTCTTTAAGAAGCCCTCCTGTTCTCCACTCATTACCTGTATTAACTGCACCTGTTTGAACTCGTTACCTGTATAAAAGACACCTGTCCACACACACTCAATCAAACAGACTCCAACTTCTCCACAATGGCCAAGACCAGAGAGCTGTGTAAGGACATCAGGGATAAAATTGTAGACCTGCACAAGGCTGGGATGGGCTACAGGACAATAGGCAAGCAGCTTGGTGAGAAGGCAACAACTGTTGGCGCAATTATTAGAAAATGGAAGAAGTTCAAGATGACGGTCAATCACCCTCGGTCTGGGGCTCCATGCAAGATCTCACCTCGTGGGGCATCAATGATCATGAGGAAGGTGAGGGATCAGCCCAGAACTACACGGCAGGACCTGGTCAATGACCTGAAGAGAGCTGGGACCACAGTCTCAAAGAAAACCATTAGTAACACACTACGCCGTCATGGATTAAAATCCTGCAGCGCACGCAAGGTCCCCCTGCTCAAGCCAGCACATGTCCAGGCCCGTCTGAAGTTTGCCAATGACCATCTGGATGATCTAGAGGAGGAATGGGAGAAGGTCATGTGGTCTGATGAGACAAAAATAGAGCTTTTTGGTCTAAATTCCACTCGCCGTGTTTGGAGGAAGAAGAAGGATGAGTACAACCCCAAGAACACCATCCCAACCGTGAAGCATGGAGGTGGAAACATCATTCTTTGGGGATGCTTTTCTGCAAAGGGGACAGGACGACTGCACCGTATTGAGGGGGGATGGATGGGGCCATGTATCGCGAGATCTTGGCCAACAACCTCCTTCCCTCAGTAAGAGCATTGAAGATGGGTCGTGGCTGGGTCTACCAGCATGACAACGACCCGAAACACACAGCCAGGGCAACTAAGGAGTGGCTCCGTAAGAAGCATCTCAAGGTCCTGGAGTGGCCTAGCCAGTCTCCAGACCTGAACCCAATAGAAAATATTTGGAGGGAGCTGAAAGTCCGTATTGCCCAGCGACAGCCCCGAAACCTGAAGGATCTGGAGAAGGTCTGTATGGAGGAGTGGGCCAAAATCCCTGCTGCAGTGTGTGCAAACCTCCCGAGTGGCGCAGTGGTCTAAGGCACTGCATCGTAGTGCTAGCTGTGCCACTAGAGATCCTGGTTCGAATCCAGGCTCTGTCGTAGCCGGCCGCGACCGGGAGACCCATGGGGCGGCGCACAATTGGCCCAGCGTCGTCCAGGGTATGGGAGGGAATGGCTGGCAGGGATGGAGCTCAGTTGGTAGAGCATGGCGTTTGCAACGCCAGGGTTGTGGGTTCGTTTCCCATGGGGGGCCAGTATGAAAAAATATATATATAATAATAATTTTAATATATATATATATATATATATATATGCACTCACTAACTGTAAGTCGCTCTGGATAAGAGAGTCTGCTAAATGACTAAAATGTAATGTAAATGTAGTCAAGACCTACAGGAAACATATGATCTCTGTAATTGAAAACAAAGGTTTCTGTACCAAATATTAAGTTCTACTTTTCTGATGTATCAAATACTTACAGTGGGGGAAAAAAAGTATTTAGTCAGCCACCAATTGTGCAAGTTCTCCCACTTAAAAAGATGAGAGAGGCCTGTAATTTTCATCATAGGTACACGTCAACTATGACAGACAAAATGAGGGGAAAAAATCCAGAAAATCACATTGTAGGATTTTTTCTGATTTTATTTGCAAATTATGGTGGAAAATAAGTATTTGGTCAATAACAAAAGTTTCTCAATACTTTGTTATATACCCTTTGTTGGCAATGACACAGGTCAAACGTTTTCTGTAAGTCTTCACAAGGTTTTCACACACTGTTGCTGGTATTTTGGCCCATTCCTCCATGCAGATCTCCTCAAGAGCAGTGATGTTTTGGAGCTGTCGCTGGGCAACACAGACTTTCAACTCCCTCCAAAGATTGTCTATGGGGTTGAGATCTGGAGACTGGCTAGGCCACTCCAGGACCTTGAAATGCTTCTTACGAAGCCACTCCTTCGTTGCCTGGGCGGTGTGTTTGGGATCATTGTCATGCTGAAAGACCCAGCCACGTTTCATCTTCAATGCCCTTGCTGATGGAAGGAGGTTTTCACTCAAAATCTCACGATACATGGCCCCATTCATTCTTTCCTTTACACGGATCAGTCGTCCTGGTCCCTTTGCAGAAAAACAGCCCCAAAGCATGATGTTTCCACCCCCAAGCTTCACAGTAGGTATGGTGTTCTTTGGATGCAACTCAGCATTCTTTGTCCTCCAAACACAACGAGTTGAGTTTTTACCAAAAAGTTATATTTTGGTTTCATCTGACCATATGACATTCTCCCAATCCTCTTCTGGATCATCCAAATGCACTCTAGCAAACTTCAGACGGGCCTGGACATGTACTGGCTTAAGCAGGGGGACACGTCTTGCACTGCAGGATTTGAGTCCCTGGCGGCGTAGTGTGTTACTGATGGTAGGCTTTGTTACTTTGGTCCCAGCTCTCTGCAGGTCATTCACTAGGTCCCCCCATGTGGTTCTGGGATTTTTGCTCACCGTTCTTGTGATCATTTTGACCCCACGGGGTGAGATCTTGCGTGGAGCCCCAGATCGAGGGAGATTATCAGTGGTCTCGTATGTCTTCCATTTCCTAATAATTGCTCCCACAGTTGATTTCTTCAAACCAAGCTGCTTACCTATTGCAGATTCAGTCTTCCCAGCCTGGTGCAGGTTTACAATTTTGTTTCTGGTGTCCTTTGACAGCTCTTTGGTCTTGGCCATAGTGGAGTTTGGAGTGTGACTGTTTGAGGTTGTGGACAGGTGTCTTTTATACTGATAACAAGTTCAAACAGGTGCCATTAATACAGGTAACGAGTGGAGGACAGAGGAGCCTCTTAAAGAAGAAGTTACAGGTCTGTGAGAGCCAGAAATCTTGCTTGTTTGTAGGTGACCAAATACTTATTTTCCACCATAATTTGCAAATAAATTCATTAAAAATCCTACAATGTGATTCTCTGGAATTTTTTTTCCTCAATTTGTCTGTCATAGTTGACGTGTACCTATGATGAAAATTACAGGCCTCTCATCTGCACAATTGGTGGCTGACTAATTACTTTTTTTCCCCACTGCATGTCATGCAATAAAATGCAAATTAATTACTTAAAAATCATACAATGTGATTTTCTGGATTTTTTTTTTGATTCCGTCTCTCACAGTTGAAGTGTACCTATGATAAAAGATTACAGACCTCTACATGCTTTGTAAGTAGGAAAACCTGCAAAATCAGCAGTGTATCAAATACTTCTTCACCCCACTGTATATACTGAAATCATGTGACAGATCATGTGACACTTAGATTGCACACAGGTGGACTTTATTTAACTAATTATGTGACTTCTGAAGGTAATTGTTTGCACCAGATCTTATTTAGGGGCTTCATAGCAAAGGGGGTGAATACATATGCACGCACCACTTTTTTTGAAATAAGTAATTTTTTTCATTTCACTTCACCCATTTTGACTATTTTGTGTATGTCCATTACATGAAATCCAAATAAAATCAATTTAAATTACAGGTTGTAATGCAACAAAATAGGAAAAATGAACAGTTTTACAATGCATTGTAGAACCACAAGTCTATTCCTAATTGTTTCACAAAGATTACTTCTATGATATGTGTGTGTGCGTGCAACTGTGTGGTGGTGATCAAGAGATAATACAACTCTGGATATGGACACATCTGCCTTGTTCTTTCCGGACAGCCTGTAGCGAGTCAGAACCTTAACAATCAGCATTAAGTACTAGCAGGTGAGGGTATTCACAGCCGACCGCTCAGACGATTTTTCATGGTCCTTCGAATCTCTGGATTCTGACCTAGTGATGGTGTACCAGTCCACTGTACCAGTCCACTGCTCCGCCAGGCTATAAGTTCTCTGCACCACTAGGTCTGCAGCCTCTGCCCTCAGTCGGCAAGCAGTCAGCTCAGTGCTACATGCCAAACCCCTTATCCTAGTTCTAGGCCCTCTAGGTGTGCAGTCCCTGCCTCTAGCCAGTTCACAGCCTGTCCTAGCGCTAGGCTGCAAGTTCCCTGCTCAGCTAGGTTTGCAGCCTCCCGCTATTCCTGGCTTGCAGTCCTCAGTCTTGGTTTCAAGTCCCCTGCCCTGTCAGGTCCCAAGTTTCCTGCCCTACTAGACCCTCAGCCCTCTGACCTGGGGGACCACCGTTCCCTGACCCAGGATGGCTGCTGTCTTCAGTTCTGGGGGGCCGCCCAACTCCTGCACTGGACGACCCTCCATTCGTCGCACCTCGAAGACCACCTGACTTCGTCTCCGGGGCCTAGCCTGCCCCTGTCTCCGGATCGTCTAAAGTTGGTACAGCCGATCTACCAACTTCTGTCTGTAACGTCCAAAATGTTTGGGCTACAGACTAATATTACCCTCTGTGCAAATGTGAGACTCTCACGAACATGCACGTCGGTTGTTTTGATCTAGGACGCCCACAGGCCTCACAAGACTCGTCTGAAGGTCCCCCGGTACCAGTTGAAAAAAAATGAATGGAAGTATATATGGAGACTGTTTAATGCCAAAAATATGGGGTGTCAAAATAAATGTCTTATATCTCTCAGACATAGGAGAGACACTTCAGAACAAACTTCCTTTTGATATTTTTTGGGGACTACCTGTTGTTCCATGTAGTTAATCTGTTATTCAATGCATTTGTATGGACTAATAGTGCTAAGACCAAATACGTTTTTTTATATTTATTTTTTATACTTCGAGGGGTCTTAAAATTCAAAATCAAATAGCTAAATGATCCTTGGTATGACCTTCTTAAAACAATTCCATATAACTTAATAGAACCCCCCCCCCCCCCCCCCCAGATTAGACAACTTTTCCAAGTTCTTTGGATTTCCATAAGAAATCTAAGGACGGCTGTAAAAAAGGCCTTGCCTTTGCACGGGACTTTCCCCACAGTCCCTTTAGGGTGGATATCTATCCATCATAGCCCTTAGTTTTCAGCCAATCAGTGGGCTTGGACACGCATGTGGACACTGCACCTGCCAGTTCTAGCAACTTCACAAGAAGAGGACACAGGTTTTGGCTGGTGACCAAGTTTACTCTTTACTCTTGGAACATTGTGCACGCATCCAAGAAAGTAAGTTGTGGGGTCTACTACTGGGGTTTTATGCTGTTTAACAATGCTTATCTATTTATAGTTGCTTATAGTTACTTTCCTCCATTTGTAATTGTAGTACTATTGTTATTCTGCAGCCAATTCCCTTGTATATTTAGGATGGCCTACTGGTGGTGCAAATCGTGTATATCATTATTGCATTGCTTGCATGAGTATTTATGCACAATATGTTCGTTTAGAAATGGTTATTGTATAGCTTGTAATGTTTGCACATTCTACCGCTGCGCATTCATGGTTTGCGCTAGTGCTATGCCATGGCGAGTTTCTAGAAGTTTCAGAAGGTCCTCGAAGCTTGCGCATGCACAGTCTGATGTACGACTCTATGGCACCAGAGAGATCAGATAAGATCTACATCAGGCCAGAGAGAGAGGGCTATAAATCGTGCCTGTCCCGAGTAATTAGTTCTCTCTCTCTCTGCTATGTGTGTATGTAATGCCATTATGTACAGATCCTGTTGTATTGCTGCATTACTATAGTAGATCTTATCTGGTCTGTCTCTGGACCCACAGTTGTACATCAGACTGTGCATGTGCAAGCATCGAGGACCGTCTCTGAAACTTCTATCAGGTTCTAGCACTAGCGCGAACCATGAATGCACAGTGGTAGAATGTGCATACACTGCAAGCTACACTATAATAATTTCTAAACTAACATATTGTGCATAAATACTTATGCAAGCAATGCAATAATGATATACACAATATGCACCAGCGGTAAGGCCATCTGAAATATTCAAGGGAATTAGCTGCAGGATAACAGTAGTACTACAATACAGTTACAAATGTAGGAAAGTAAATATAAACAGCTAAGCATCGCTAAACGGCATAAAGGTAGTAAGTAGACCCCACAACTTACTTTCTTGAGTAAACAGTAAACTTGGTCACCAGCCAAAACTTGTGTTCTCTTCTTGCGACGTCAATAAAACTCGGAGCTACAACGGGCGGGTGCAGTGGCCACATGCGTGTCCAACCCCACTGATTGGCCGAAAACAAAGGGCTGTGATTGACAGCTAAAATGGAGAGATATCCACCCTAAAGGGACTGTGGGGAAGTCCTAAACACAGGCATGGCCTTTTTTTTTACAAGTAGTGCTTTTGTTTATTTACCAAGGGCATCAAGGACGCCGACCGGAGCTTTTTCTAAGTGAAGGTCGATGTCCTTGGGAACTGTGAGAGGCTTGTTGTCCCCATTCTGTCTCCTACAAAACAGAAGTAGTCAGCAAATCTTCCCTTTAACAGCCGTCTACTATCATAACAGTGATACACAGGCAGCAGACACCAGTTGTACTGTATCATCATGCCCCCTCCCACCTGTCTCTCTTGCTGGGCTTGCTGGGCATCTGTTTTCCAGCTAGGGCACACAGCTCTCCCTCAGAGGGGTGTTTGAACCGGAACAGGCTGAAAGGATCAAGTTAGATTTGTTTAAAAATATATATACACCGCAAGTAAGTTATTAGCTAGTGGTAGGGTCACAGTTGTTCTTTCAAATCAATTTACAATGATAAGGGCTAAGAGTTTATCATGACCATACCAGGAATGTCAGACCCTTACCATGATGTCTACATTATCAAGACGTCTCTACACCCCATCTCCAAAGCCACTTCTGTATATGACATTTGTGTACGTGACTTTACCTGCCATTGCACAGGAGCCAGCGGGCAAAGGAACAGTGTGGAGCCATTCTCTGCATGATGCTAGCAGCCAGCAAGCTGACCACCAGCTGCACTCCAATCAGCGCCTGGTCAGTGAGAAACACACATATACACACTATTGGTTAATCAAACTAAAGTACAAAAATTTGTCAACACAACTTTTATAGACAGCCAACATGGAGTTTCCCGATTAATCAGCTGCTGTGCATCTCAAAGGAGTCTCTACTAACGTTACATCTGTCAGAGGGTGGGGGGCGCACTTCCTACAGTGTCAAGTCATTCAACTTTTCAAGGAAGAAACCAAATCCTCTAAAGCCAAGGAAAGAAATTGCCCAAGATAGCAACGACAAGGGGAAAAGTGGCTGTGAAGGTTGAAGGTAACCATCCATGATAGCAGCCCAAGCAAGCTGGCTAACTTGTGCAACGTGTACATGCTACTAGTAAAATGAATGGAAATAGCTATTTATGCTGCTAGCTAACTTCAAACTGACACCCAGACAGCTATCAACTTGTAGGGAACCCGAAGCAGCAACTGTAACTGGAGAACTATAGCTAGCTAACTACAGGTAGCTCATAATGCTAAGCTAGCTAGCTAGGCTAACTATTTTGTAGTCAGAGACGTGTAGCAGTGGCTAAAAGCTAGCTACAAGCATTTAGCTAGCGAAACTTTACATGCTGGGTGCAAGTGGCTACAGCAAAAAAATTAGCTACTCACCATCTCTTCAATTATCTGAAGTTTATTTTCGTAGTGTTAGCTACACACGCGTGTACGTAGCTTCAGTGTCTTGACAGCTGATGACATGTGAAACTCGGGCTGCGTTCAGTACATAAAAACGTAATAGAACGTTCAATTGAACGGAAACAGCGCTGTACTGAACGACCAGTTGAAAACGGGGAGGGGTTGGTTGGGTTGTGGGTTCAACCGTCGCTCATTGCTTCAAGCCACACCCGGAGCACCCACCGACGGGGCAAACGTATCTCAAAGTCTGTTCAAGAACATACAATAACGTTTTGGAAAAACGTGCGTTCAGAACAAACCGTTCTGCAACGTAGCAAACGTTCAAGTGAACTGAACGCACGCCCGGATTTGTGTTCCATGAACCTCAGAAAAACAAGCGTTTTCATTGGATCGAATAGATGTCTGTTGACGATTTCATTGGATATTCAAAACATGGTGGAAGATGTCCAGTAAAACATATTCCTCGGTCACAATGGCTGTGTTCAAGAGCATCAAAACCGTGATGTATCATGGGTAAATTGTTACTGACTGATCTACAAAAATATTGAGTAGTTATTTAGGATGCAAGGTGATTTGTAGATCAGTCAGTCTCGACTCTCCTTTAAAGTCGTCTGCAATGTCGAACGCACCAAATAACATTAATAATGTATTTTCTCATGGACAAAATAAATTGTTTCACCTGCTTAGCAATAAAAAGCAGTGGTGGAAAACGTACCCAATTGTCATAATTTAGTAAAAGTAAAGATACCTTAATAGAAAATGACTCAAGTAAAAGTGAAAGTCACACAGTAAAGTACTACTTGAGTAAAAGTCCAAAGTATTTGGTTTTAAATATACTTAAGTATCAAAAGTAAATGTAATTGCTAAAATATACTTAAGTATCAAAGTAAAAGTATAAATCATTTCAAATTTCTTATACTAAGCAAACCAGACTGCAACATTTTCTTATTTTTTTATTTACATATAGCCAGGGGCACACTCTAACACTCAGACATCATTTAACAAACGAAGCATGTGTGTTTAGTGAGTCCATCAGATCAGAGGCAGTACGGATGACTTGGGATGTTCTCTTGATAAGTGCTTGAATTGGACCATTTTCCTGTCCTGCTAAGCATTCAAAATGTAACGAGTACTTTTGGGTGTCAGGGAAAATGTAGTGGAGTAAAAGTAAAAGTAGTCAAAAATATAGTAGGCCTCCCGTGTGGTGCAGCGGTCTAAGGCACTGCATCGCAGTGCTTGAGGCGTCACTACATACCCGGGTTCAATATCAGGCTGTGTCACAACCGGCTGTGACCGGGAGTCCCATAGGGCGGCGCACAATTGGCCCAGCGTCATCCAGATTAGGGGAGGGTTTGGCGGGGGGCTTTACTTGGCTTATTGCGCTCTAGCGACTCCTTGTGGCAGGCCCGACGCCTGCAGACTGACGTTGGTCATCAGTTGAACAGTGTTTCCTCTGACACATTGGTGAAGCTGGTTTCCGGGTTAAGTGGGCGGGTGTTAAGAAGCGCGGTTTGGCGGGTCATGTTTCGGAGGTGTGTTTTGGGTCATTGTCCTGTTGAAAAACAAATGACAGTCCCACTAAGCGCAAACCAGATGGGATGGCGTATCGCTGTGGTAGCCATGCTGGTTAAGTGTGCCTTGAATTCTAAATACATCACAGACAGTGTCACCAGCAAAGCAACCCTAAAAGACTACTTAACTAGTACTTTAAAGTATTTTTACTCAAGTAGTTTACACCTCTGATAAAAAGCGTTGTTTTAGAGATACTTTATCATAAAGCTAAGTACATGTAGCATACTTGAACAGCTGTTCAAACCAATCACACTGGGCTTATTATTGTGGGAGAATCTAAAAATCTTATTTTATTTGTCACAACATCTTGGTGTCATAGTGTGCTCCAACATATGGACTTTGTCTATATTCTGAAATACACATTTTCACATGAATTTATTCAACATTAAAATACAATATGAATATCTCAGAACTACCCTTTTTGATTTTGTTCATTTTAAGACATATTGCTTGGAACAATATACTCTACAAGTACATCACATTTCCAGAGTTGGCTTTCTGCTAATTCTAAAGTTATGATACATTTTAAGAGCACCGCCAACAGTGACTGGTAAATGGGAACTCCCTCTGCTCGTGATTTGCTGAATGTGCAATCCTAAAGGAGGGCTGTGATTAATTGCCTATAATGTCAATTTCTATGTAAAGAATGGGTCATATCATTAAAAGTACCAGAGAGCCCACTCTGGAAATGTAATGTGTTTGAAGAGTATAATGTTCCAAAAAATCTGTACAAAAAAAAAATATCAAAAAGGGTAGTTTTGAGATATTCATATTAATATTTTTTATGTTGAATAAATTAATGTGAACATTTGTATTTCAGAATCCAGACATAGTCCATATTTGAGAGCACACTAAAAGGAGTATAATGACACCAATATGTTGTCTGTAACATGTACGGTTCACAGAGAAAAGAATGGCGCCGGAGGAGATGGCTGCCGTTTTACGGGCACCTAACCAATTGTGTTATTGTGTGTGTGTATTTTCGCGTTATTTGTAACTTATTTTGTACATAATGTTTCTGAAACCATCTCTTATGACCGAAAAGAGCTTCTGGATGTCATGACAGCGATTACTCACCTCGTACTGGACGAAGATTTTTTCTTTAACGAGTCGGACGCTAAGGATTTTCTTCAGACACCTGACAAGGCCCAAATCCCCGTCATTTGCATGAGAAAGAGACAGAGATATCGTGGACGTAGGTCGGTGTGCCTTGTAAGGATCTGACGGCGAGTGGGTAATCTGCCTCTACCATCAGTCCTATTAGCCAATGTACAATCATTGGATAACAAAATAGACAAACTACGATCAAGGATATCCTACCAACGGGACATTAAAAACTGTAATATCTTATGTTTCACCGAGTCGTGGCTGAACGAGGACATGGATAACATACAGCTGGTGGGATATACGCCGCATCGGAAAGATAGAACAGCTGCCTCCGGTAAGACAAGGGGTGGCGGTCTGTGTATATTTGTAAACAACAGCTGGTGCACAAAATCTAATATTAATGTTTTGCTCGCCTGATGTAGAGTATCTCATGATAAGCTGTAGACCACACTATTTACCAAGAGAGTTTTCATCTATATTTTTCGTAGCTGTCTACTTACCACCACAAACCTATGCTGTCACTAAGACCGCACTCAATGAGCTGTATAAGGCCATAAGCAAACAGGAAGATGCTCATCCAGAGGCGGCGCTCCTATTGGCCGGGGACTTTAATGCAGGGAAACTTAAATCCGTTTTGCTTAATTTCTACCAGCATGTTAAATGTGCAACCAGAGGGAAAAAAAACACTAGACCACCTTTACTCCACACACAGAGACGCGTACAAAGCTCCCCCTCGCCCTCCATTTTGCAAATCTGACCATAACTCTATCCTCCTGATTCCTGCTTATAAGCTAAAACTAAAGCAGGAAGCACCAGTGACTCGGTCAATAAAGAAGAGGTCAGATAACACAGATGCTAAGTTACAGGACTGTTTTGCTAGCACAGACTGGAATATATCTTCCGATGGCATTGAGGAGTACACCACATCAGTCACTGGCTTCATCAATAAGTGCATCGATGACGTTGTCCCCACATTGACCGTACGGACATACCCCAACTAGAAGCCATGGATTACAGGCAACATCCTAAAGGGTAGAGCTGCCTCCTTCAAGGAGCGGGACTCTAACCCGGACGCTTATAAGAAATCCCGCTATGCCCTCCGACGAACCATCAACAGGCAAAGCATCAATACAGGACAAAGCTTGAATCGTAATACACCGGCTCCGACGCTCGTCGGATGTGGCTGGGCTTGCAAACTATTACAGACTACAAAGGGAAGCACAGCCGCAAGCTGCCCAGTGACACGAGCCTACCAGACAAGCTAAATTAATTATATGCTCGCTTCGAGGCAAGCAACACTGAAGCATGCATAAAAGCATCAGCTGTTCCGGACGACTATGTGATCACGCTCTCCATAGCCGATGTGAGTAAGACCTTTAAACAGGTCAACATTCACAAGGCCGCAGGGCCAGACGGATTACCAGGACGTGTACTCCAAGCATGCGCTGACCAACTGGCAAGTGTCTTCACTGACATTTTCAACCTTTTCCTGACTGAGTCTGTAATACCAACATGTTTCAAACAGGCCACCATAGTCCCTGTGCCCAAGAACACTAAGGTAACCTGCCTAAATTACTACTGACTCGTAGCACTCACGTCTGTAGCCATGAAGTGCTTTGAAAGGCTGGTCATGGCTCACATCAACACCATTATCCCAGAAACCCTAGACCCACTCCAATTTGCACACCACCCCAACAGATCCACAGATGATGCAATCTCTATTGCTCTCCACACTGCCCTTTCCCACCTGGACAAAAGGAACACCTACGTGAGAATGCTATTCATTGACTACAGCTCAGCGTTCAACACCGTAGTGCCCTCAAAGCTCATCACTAAGCCAAGGACCCTGGGACTAAACACCTCCCTCTGCAACTGGATCCTGGACTTCCTGACAGGCCGCCCCCAGGTGGTAAAGTTAGGTAACAACACATCTGCCACGCTGATCCTCAACACGGGGGCCCCTCAGGGGTGCGTGCTCAGTCCCCTCCTGTACTCCCTGTTCACCCATGACTGCATGGCCAGGTACGACTCCAACACCATCATTAAGTTTGCGTACAACACAACAGTGGTAGGCCTGATCACCGACAACGATGAGACAGCCTATAGGGAGGTCAGAGACCTGGCCATGTGGTGCCAGGATAACAACCTCTCCCTCAACGTGATCAAGACAAAGGAGATGGTTGTGGACTACAGGAAAAAGAAGACAGAGCGCGCCCCCATTCTCATCGACGGGGCTGTAGTGGAGCAAGTTGAGAGCTTCAAGTTCCTTGGTGTCCACATCACCAACAAACTATCATGGTCCAAACACACCAAGACAGTCATGAAGAGGGCACGATAAAGCCTATTTCCCCTCAGGAGACTGAAAAGATTTGGCATGGGTCCTCAGATCCTCAAAAAGTTCTACAGCTGCACCATCAAGAGCATCCTGACTGGTTGCATCACTGCCTGGTATGGCAATTGCTCGGCCTCCGAGGGTAGTGCGTACGGCCCAGTACATCACT